ACTGGTGTGACTGGTGTAACTGGTATTATCACTTAATAGAGTTTAATCACAAAGACACTAATCGTTGCTGCTGTTGCTGCGTTTCAGGATTTGGTTCCGTCGATGAACCGCTGCAGGAACAAAAGCTGATGAATCAGAAAAGCTTCACGTTCAGAGGTGACGGATAAATTCTGGTTCTTGTTTGGATCAGCAGCTCAAAGTGAACATTTAGCAGACGATAACAAAGCTGATGAACACAGATGACGTCTGTGAGGAGTTCTCTCTTTAATCAGTGTTGTGCAGCTGAAGGACACACAAACACGGCGGCAGTGTGTGTGTGCAGATACACACCAGCACCGCGGTGACCTGAGGAGGCGTCGGTTCGACACCGTTCAGTCTAACCTGGAGGGAAATGCAGGTTTCTCTGCTCCAGCGCCGTATTTATGGATCAAAAAGCTGAGGATCACTATTTATACTCTTCAGGTTTCTCATCACAGCTTGAAACAGAAACGGTGTTAAAGCTGGAGGCTGAGATTCATCTGAACTAACGGGTGAAACTGAAACTGAAGCTGAGCTGGAACAGACTAAAAACACTTCTTATCCAAGTGCAGACGTGGCAAAGCACAAACCACAGCGAATCAAAGCCCACGAAAGAAGCAATCAGTGCAATGAGGAGATTTCCAACAGAGTGAATTCTGTCTGTAGATGGTCCTGGTATGTTCTGGAGGTAAATGGTCCTTCCATCGGCTAACTCTGGAGCTCTGGAGTATTCACAGTCTGAAGGTAGAACTCGGGTCATTAGATAAAGGTGCTGCAGATACAGAACCAGATGTTCTGAGGAGGGCAATATTCTCAGATTTATTGAATTGACGGGGAATGACCTATTCAGCAACCTGATCAATTACAGTCAGTAATTAGTTGTGGGGTTCCTCAGGGTTCTGTTTCTGTACCTTGCTGGGTTTTGTTTTTAGTTTAGCTAAAGCTACTTTAGCTGCTTTCTTATATATTTTTTGTAAGTTAAGATAAAATAAGATGGACTTTTGTAGTGTTACAGCAGCAACAGTGCCGATTAAGGAAATGTATAACAAAATTTTAAAAATGAACCAATATATGCATTCGTAGTAGACTATAGAGTAACAGTCGTTAACTTAGGGGGCATCCCATCTCAGATCATCAGGTTTTCAGACAAGTTCTCCTCTGATCTCTGATTTGTCTAAAGTTAGCACATGAAATAAAATTTATAAAGATATCAGTGAAATTTTGGATTGACACGTCACATACTTTCCAAGTTAAATTTTGAAAAATAATTTTCCATCGACACACTTTCAGCAGGTTTTTTTTCTCATACTGAAATTTGAGACTGAACAACATGTAAGGAGCTCTCACAGACAAACGCCTGAGCTGCTTATCACGATTCAGAATCTACAGACAAGTCGCTCAAACAGTCAGTTCAACATATATGTGAATTGAAAAATGAAGTCTTCATTAAAAGTTCCATCTTTGAACACAAGTTAACAACAAAATGATAATGCAGAAGTGAACTCGTGATATTTTCTAAACCATATGTCGCTGCAGGTCATGACGTACACTCCATGTCCAAACATATATTTCATGATTATCTGATGTACGAACGTGAGCAATGCTATTGTGGTCAATGTACTCTTCTGATTATTATGGAAGTTGTTTTAAACTTCAATACGAAAGTCACAGCTGGACTGGAAGTGCGAGAACATGAACAAATGTGAGATGATTTCAGATGGACTGACTCCTCAGAGCAGTGGAACCATCTGTAAACAGCTAACACCACAGAACAGCTGAGCTTTAGGATTAGCTTTAGGATTAGGGTTTTGACAGCACTACATGCTGATCATCATGAAAACGCTGCTGAAGTCACGGCTGTGTCCCACTACGTTAGACATTCACTCTGCTTTTACCTTCAGGGAAATGTCTGGTTCTTCAGATGTTCCTCCAGCTGCAGTCTGTTTCAACACTTTGCTCACTGCATTCAACTCACTGTTTCCACAAGAGTTTCTATAGCAACCAACAAACATCCTCACCAACATGTTTGTAAGTGGTGGTTTTATCTACACGTCCATTACAACCAGTGGAGACTAAAACACAAGCAAGGCAGAGGGTAGAGCTGGGAGTCACCACGTATACAGATATGCAGCAGAGGCTTGGGTGAAGCTCATGTGAAGACTGGAGATGAAACATGCTGACACACATTCAGAGTGGGGTAGGAGGAAGGTTCAGGTTGACTTTAGGGGAAATGATGCATTCAGGTTCAAGGATCAGGTCAGAGGTGAAATGTTGGGCTTAAAGCTGTGTTGAAGGTGTGATGGAGGTCTGGGTACATCGTCATGGGTCACCGCCTCGATCCATTGTGAGTTCAGAGGTCACAGAAAGGATCCGACCAGCTGAATGAACAGCCTGAGGCGGTCAGTTCATAGGTTTGTGGCAGAGTTCCAGCGTTTTGACTGCAAGTGTGACGGTTCAGGCTGCAGGTATCAGAACCTGTTGGTGGTGAAGTGTTGAGGGCTGCTGGAGTTACAGGTTCAGATGTTCCATGAATGGTGTTAGTGGAGAGCAATGTGGTCAGGACCACTCAGAACAATTAAGGTACTTGCTGATATGAAAACTGGTTCTTCACAGTGATGCCATAGAGGAACCATGTTTAGGTCCACAAAGAACCATTTAGGAGGCTGTTTAAAGAACAACTTCTTCAAAGTGTTCTTAAAAAATACAAAAAAACAAAAGCACCTTAAAGAACCATCAAAAAAGGGTTCCTATGGCACTCCAAACAGACAGCAGGATCTGTACCCCCAGGCTGACATCTCCTAAACCTGGTTCTGGACTGCTGGTCAGACAGAACAACATGTTCTAAGATGCCAATTTGGGATTTGCATAACTGTGACGAACATTTCTCTGTTTTCTGATGTTTTACCGACCAAACGATTAATCTGGAACCAACTACTGTTTAGCTGAAGAAGTCCAAAGGTCGGGTTCAGTTGGTTCAGGGCAGGTCATGGCTGATGAGAAGACACGTCAGTCGTTGTTCACATGTTTGTAGGTGGTCGCATTTTGGATGAAGAAACTTTTGGTTGAAGGGGTTAGAGGTCAAAGTTGGAGATGAGGCAGAAAACGTGGGCCAAGTGGAAGGATGAGTTCTGGTCGAGGTCAGTGAGTGTGAACTGTCACGATTAAAGTCAGGTCACAGGTTAGACACCTGAATCATCTGCATGATGCTAAAGGTGAGAACAAGACATGCTACTCACGCTTAGCACCTGGGGTCAAAGGTCAGAGGCGACGAAAAAGGGTCAGGGTCAGGTTTAGGATCTGGTCTAGATCAGGTTGAGGTCAGGTTTAAAGTCAGGATTAAGGTCAGGTTTAGGTCAGGTTTAAGGTAAGCAGGATACAGGCAGCACACACTCAGAGCCTTAGCATTTCAGGTGTTAAAGTTGGATGTTAGGTTGAAGCCACAGGTGAAGGGTCAGAGGTCAAACAGGTTACTTACAGGTAGTAAGTGTAGGAGTGATAATTTCTTCGTCTGAGTGGTGGGGGGGCGGAGCAGAGGGAGGATGAAATGGAGGGAAAGAAAACAGAAAAACAGAAAAAGGAAAAACAACAGATTAATGTCTCGGAGAAAATAAACAGAACAGATGAGGTAAATTATTCTGTGTGGAGGTGAAGGAGTGGAGCGCAGTGATTGGCTTATACAAAGAGTCACTTAAAGTGTAAAGGGGCGGGGACACATCTGATTGGTTAACAAGGTGAATGTGTAAAAGGCACAGAGCAAAAGCTCCGACGAGTTTCTGTGTATCAGTATATTTACATAAATACACATGAACATGTTCACAAAACAGAAGAATTACCACCAAATGGTAACGAGGACGAACACTGAACCACCGTCTGCTCAGGGAACAGTTTCAGTAGAAAACAAGACAGAAAGAATACGACAAGAAGATGCAAGCATGTTGAAAATATTCTCTGCCTCGATGTGAAATCTTAACTCCAACGTAAAAAACAAACTAGTTCAAACTGATTCAGCATCAAAGAGAATCTTTAACCAGGAAAAACACATAAAAAGCAGTTGTGGCTAAACATCCATTGTCCTGTTGGAGAATGACCCGTGGCGTTCCCCAGGGTTTTATTCTTGGTCGTCTATAGTTTGAGTTAACATGCCAGCAGTTACAATGGCAGATGTCTATAAACCACAGGAGCCAATGTAATAACTCCGTCACCTCCTGGTGAAAAGTTCTAAAATCCACCTTGTGCTGAGATCTGTTTTTGGACAAATTAGTTTAGCTGTTGAACGAACATTCCAACAATTGCAGTAAATCTGAAACACGACTGTTGAACTTGACATTTTCCCACAGTCAGTGATTACTTGTTGGAGACGTTGGCCTGCTGAATGAGCTGTAAACACAAAACCAGACATTTCAGATTTATTGTCACCCAGCAGATGTAAACATCCACCATCAGCTCCAGAGTGATGGAACCTGATCATCACTGGGACCTGAACACGGGCGGCAGTGCAACAGGAGCTGCTGTAAACTGGTTCGGCTGCTAAAAGACAGGATGAAGCAGATGGAAACGCGTCCTACAGACTGTTTCTGAGAGCTGGAGTCTCATCAGCCTGCAGCCTGTTAGAGTCTCTCCACCCGGCTTCCCGCTGTAATGACTTTGACCTCCGTTTGGTCACAGAGTGGAAATCAAACGCACCCCGTCAACATTAAAAACCTCATTAGTTCCCGAACAGCCGCCTTCCTCGTTCTGTCTCTGTCTAATATCTGTGAGAGATCAGAGCTCGATCGACCCGACAGATGAGTCAAACTCACCAACTGTACCGACACACACTCGGCTTTATGAAAATGTGTGTGTCTGTGTCTCTGTTGCCTGAAGCCATTCAGCTCGAGGCGACTCTGAAAAAGAAGAATAAAACGCTCTTTCATCTAAATTTCTCTCTCATCTCCAACGTTCTCCAAACACAGAAGCTGTTCTCTCTGTGTGTAAGTGTGTGTGCAGGATAAATTGTGTATCTGTGAGTGTGTGCGTCCCAGCGGGGTTGTGTGTTTGATGTTGGAGAATAAAGTGGGTCCAGATACAGTTTAATGGTGATTACTGTTGCAATCTGCTCCATTATTCATCCTCATCATCGCTCCTGTGGCTGCCAGTGTGCGGACACGATGGCGTCTTTGATGTAACTTGGTCCAGTTTCCCCACAGACAGAACTGTGACGTCCAGTAGAACCGGCACCGCATCGCTACACGCTTTCATTTACAGCCTTTTCTCTCCATCCTGAATCTCTTTCTACAGCTGAAGAAACCCGTTTCTGAACATCTGTGGACACGAACTGTTCGAAAATTAATGGTTCTTTAGTGGTTCTTCACTAAGTTCTCAAAGCGTCATCACCAACAGAAGAACCTCTTTGTTCAGGGAGCGGTTCTTCACCTACTCTGTGTGGTTCTTTAAAGGTCCGTCGTGTTTACTGGAGTTGCTTGGTGTGATGGCAGGTAGCTGCTTCAGTTAGAGCTGTTTGACAGAATATCAGGAACCAGAACCATTGATCACAGCTAAACTCATCCTGAACTATCATCTGGAAACATGTCGGACCACAAACCCAAAACATTGAATGTGTTCTAATCAGACGGAGCCCAAAATGCTTCACTTTTCTTAACTTCACGGTTGTTTTTTTTTGCCTATAAAATGACTCAAATGATCGTGAAGGTCTGTTGTCAGAATGGAACCGTGCGGGTTCACAGATTGGTCCAAAAGACTCAGAAACAAAAGCCTAAAATGAGAGTACTGAATGCAGAGAGGCTCAGATTCAACGTAGATGTAATAACAGTCTGACACAGGTCCAGTTTGAGACTGGCCATCATCATTCTGACCCGTTCAGACTTCATTTAGGTCGGAGCCAGAACTAGAACCAGGTCACTGCTGCTGGTCTGCACTCAGCCAAAAACAGCCTTTTATTTCATTTTTCAAATAAAAAATTGTTAAAAAAAGACAAACATTTCCAAACTTTGCATTCTTTCAAAAAGAAGACTTTCTGTTTGTCCTGTCCGCCTGCAGACTGAACGTCTGAGAGATGCGGGCCCACCTGGCCTTCAGGTGGAACAAAACAACATTCAAACAATAGTTAATGGTTCAAAAAGACAAGCGTCAGATTCCAGGATAAGCTAGTGGGTCGATGCAGGGCTGGGTTCTGATGCCTCTCAGCTGCATCATGTGCACCTCGTTCTGTCGCCATGACGCCACCGACTGTTGCTGCAACGAGACAAACAGTTTCTCTGAATGTAGGACAGAAACATGAGCAACCAAGTCTGGCCTCCATGTACGTCATGTTCCACACTGCTGCGACAGGCTCCGCCCCCCACGACCCAAACGGGCTTAATGAGGATGAAGCGGTGTATAGATGATGGATGAAGTGTTCCGTGTGAGCTGTGGTTCCGCGGTGGTCGGGAGCCTGAAACAAAGACTCAGCAGAGCGTCCGAACACACCGAGCGCAGACAAGCAAGACAGAGTTCAAAAGGTCTGAGCAGAACATCAGCACAGCGCCACACGAAGGTTCTGAGTGGAAACACAAACAGCACAGCGACAGCTCCTGAAAGAACCTCTGAAGGTATAAAAAACGTTCTTTTAACCACCATCAATGTTGTTTATTTGTTTAACGAGCCGTTAACGGTTCTTTGTGAGACTTTCCGACAATAACTTTTGGAATTTTTTTTTATCATTTATACATTTTGTCATTTTTTCTTTTGGTCACTGTCTGGACACACCTGTGGAGCCACCAGTTTCTACTTGTGAACAAGTCAAACAAATCATTTAGTTGTTTGGGTTTTTAAAAATCAGAAAAGTGGATTTGCAGCATTTCTGGGTTCCTTCCATGAACACACATGACTGAGTGTTCTGGACTGTGGCTCAGACACAACATGTTCTCAGATGCCTGTTTGCTTCTGTTTGCTGGTGTTTGATAGAACAAACGATTCATTGGGATGAAACCAGTGTTCAGGTGCAGCTCTGATTTGCTGCTGCTACCTGCCACCACACCAAAGAACTCCAGTAAACATGAAGAACCCTCCAAGAACCACAGAATGAAGAACCATCTCCTAAACAAAGAGGTTCTTCAGTGGTGACGGGGCTTTGAAAAACCAGAGAGCTTTCTGAAGAACCATGGAAGAGCAGTGTGGCTGCCTGTAGCTCACCTGTGCAGGTATTTTCTTCTGGTTGTAGTTGAACTTCAGGTCTTGTCTAAAAACTGGAGTGAACAGTTGTAGTGTGTGTGTGATGGTGTGTGTTTGTCATACCGTTTCTTCATCAGCAAGATGACCCCGAGGAAGATGATGATGAAGAGCAGGACTCCTGCAATCGATCCAGCGATCTTCACCGTGTGATCCGACTGCTTCTCCTGCTCAGGTTCTGGTTTTCTGGTCGCAGCTCCTGAAACCAGTAACCAGCGTTAACTACCTTTAACTAGTGGTAGCAAACTAACTCAGGTTAACCGGCCTAACCTGAACATGAGCAGTTAGAGACATTCATCTAGTTCCATAAACGTTGTTTTACTGTTTGAGAAGTGGACGTATTGAACCAGTATTAGAGCAAACACCAGCCACCGTTCAGACATTAATTCTGACTAATAAGCATCATTCAGATGATGCACGCTGGTGTGATTGGTCCATGAGGTCCAATCACATCAACTGACCATTTAAATCAATGGTCATGGATAAACGTGTGTCAGCAAAGAGGAAAGTGATGTTTCTGCTACTTCAGCCATTTGAGAAACGATATAAGCTTCCACAAAACTGCCCAACGTAAAATGAATGTTAGCAAAACATCAACCCAACGCAACGTGAGCTCGTCGTGTTTGGATGAAGACCTCAGCCAGCTGAAAAACTCTTTGTTCATTCATTTTGCAGTTTCCACCAACTTGTTCTAACACAACAGTTGAAACTTAGATAAAAATGCATTGATGTAAACATGATAACGAACCAATAAGACAAGTACACACCAGCTTCATATGCAAGATATAAAACGTGCCTTTAAAGGGGCCGTGATGACCTCTGACCTCCATGATAACAGCGTCTGTATTTACCAGACTGTGAGCTACTGTTGTTAATACTATGAGCAGTCATTAACTGCTAATAACACGACCTGACTCCACTGTTTGAGGATACGTTTGTGCTTCTGTATCGATTTTACTGTTAATTATAGTTGAACTAATAACTGATTCTGTTATTTTGTGTTATAACCAACAACATTCACACTGACTGACTTCTGATAAACTACAAACCCAGACAACAAGACGAAAATCCTCCAAGCTCCACTGAGGTCACATGTAAAGGGTTTATTTGGCTCTTTGTGGTCCATGAGGTTCTGGGTCGCAGTGGTTCTGTTTCAGGGGAACCGTCTCCTCTGACTCTGTAATGTGATGCTGTCAGCGCCACAAAAAACCCATTAGCACTGTGTGTGTCCAGGTGTAATATCCTTCAGGTGACTCGTAGACGAGAAACGTTCAGGTTAACACGTCTCCGTCGAGACGTAATGTGTCATTTCAGAGCAACATCCGGACCTGACAGCAGCCATCAGTCAGTGTGTCCGTCGGCACCACACGTCTGCCTGCCCAAGTGGGGACATTCTACACCCTCAGGACGTTTCTACACTATGAGGACGTTTCTACACCGTGAGGACGTTTCTACACC